CCTTCCTTCCTTCCTTCCTTCCTTCCTTCCTTCCTTTCTTCCTTCCTTCCTTTCTTCCTTCCTTCCCCGAACAGAATGTGACCAAAGGAGCGAGGCACAAAATTGCTTTAAGTATCCAAAAGTTGCGTGAAAGGCAGAGTGTCCTGAAGTCTTTGGAGAAGGTAAGAGACCCGCTGAGCCGGCCTGGGATTCCAGGGGTGGGTTCCCTTCCGTGATGCCTAAGGTGAAGGCAAACAGCTGGCACCGAAGCCAGCCGGACCCCAGGACCTTCCTTTCCCCTGGCCCCTCCCCCTCTTTTCCCTCCAGGACATCTTGGAAGGGGGGAACTTGTGGAATGCGCTCCAGGAACTGCAGCAGATCATCACCACGCCCATCAAGGCCTTCCACGCTCTGCACGCTGTGGCCGCGTCCAAGGAGGCCCAGCCCCTGGCAGCCGAGCCGAGGGGAGGCCCCACGCTGGGCCTGGAGAAGAGCAGCAACGAGGAGAAGGAGGCCACCGAGGACCCCTTCCCGCCCCCCACAGGCTCTCCGTGTGACGGAGAATCCGGGGCGGCACCGATCGCCGAAGGGGACATTGCAGGCCAATTCACTCGCGTGATGGGTAAAGGTGAGCTCTCGTGTGTGTGTGTGTGTGTGTGTGTGTGTCTCAGGCCCTTTGTATCTGCGCCCAGCGAGCAGGATAGGTGAGGCTGACTTTTTAAGGCGAGGCCTTCAAGGAAGCTGGAATGAGTGGGCTGTGGGTCTCTTGAAGGCCCCATCAGGAATACTCGTAAGCTACTCGTGGCGTTCCCAGAGTCTTGAGGATTGATGAGGTTCCTCTGAGGAGTAATGTTTGCTATTGATAGATGAGAACATTTGTAGCTTGGGGTTGAACTGTGGGGTCCTTGGTGCTCTCTGAGCCTGGTGGTTTTCCAGACGTTTCATGACCCAGCCAGGGGACAGCCTCAGTCTGCTCGGAGCTTGGTTGTCAGTGCGCTGATGACGTTTCCCAGTTGGGTCATGAAATGTCTTCAAGGAAACCACTGAGAGCACCGAGGACCCCACAGAGGTTTCTGATTGTTCCTTTACGTTGTGTCTGGCTTGCGGTTGTCCACCTTTGGTCTAAGCCTCCAGGAGTTGTTTGATTTGAGGGGTGAATAAGTTGGACAAACAACGCTAGTCAAACGGCTGATTCCTCCCCCCGTGACCATTTCCTCCTCCTCCTCCTCCTCCTCCTCTCTCGCAGTGTGTACGCAACTGCTTGTCTCCCGGCCAGACGAGGAGAACATCACCAGTTACCTCCAACTGATAGAGAAGTGCTTGATGCACGAGGTAAGCCTGGACGTTACGGGAGCCCCAGAGGTCAACCATCTGAAACAGCTGGGGTGTGTTTTTTTCCCCCCTTCCCCAATGTGGCTGCCTTTCTGTCCCCCTCCCTGACAGGCCTTCACCGAGACCCAGAAAAAGCGCCTCTTGTCCTGGAAGCAGCAGGTCCTGAAGTTGCTCCGTACCTTCCCGAGGAAGGCCGTGCTGGACATGCAGGGCTATCGCCCCCAGAAAGGGTAGGTCTCTGGGCACCGCCGGGGCCAAGCGCCTGCAGGGCATCCAAGCCGGCACCGGGAGCTCCGGGACTCTCCTCGGTGAAGGGAAACCTTGCAAGATGGTCCTGACTAGAGAAGCAGGCAGGCACCGGGTAGAACCAGGGCCACTTTTATAGCTATAGGAGCCGCTTCCACTCTTCCGTTGCGTCCGACGCTTGGTGGCTTTGTAGGCAAGTCCTCTCCCTGCTGCCCTCTCAGGCGCAGCTTCTTTCGGTAGTTGGACGTTCCCCTTCGTAAGCAGCTCGGGTGGTATCAAGCCAGCGTGTCTTTTTACTTGCGGCTCCTTCTGCTTCGCTACCCGTTCCTAGCATCACCAACTTCTCCGATGAATTTGCATGCATGGCTGTGTAAATCAGACCATAGTCTTGTGGTTTTGGCTTCTGGTGATGTTTCTGGCTTTATACGATTCAGCACCTACTTTGTTGGTTACTCTGCTGTCCGTGGTATACACATTAATCGGTAATTAGCAATAGACTTCCATCCCGCTTCACAGTGCTTCACAGCCCTCTCTCAGCGGTTTACAGAGTCAGCCTCTTGCCCCCAACCCTCTGGGTCCTCATTTGACCCACCTCGGAAGGACAGGAGGCTGAATCAACTTTGAGCTGGTCACGATCGAACTGCTGGCAGTCGGCAGAGTTTGCCTGCAATGCTGCATTCTAACCATGGTGCCACCGTGGCCCTAATAATAATGGTTACTCCGGCTGTCCATGATAATATTCAATAATTGATGCCATAGTTCAAAGGGGTCAGTTCTTTTTCAGTCAGCCTTTTTTAATGTCCAGCTCTCTCACAAACAGACATCATTACAGGGAAGACTATTGCTCTAACTAGCCTGCTTTTTGCATTTATATCAATGCCAGCAGTTCAATCCTGACCGGCTCCAGGTGGACTCAGCCTTCCATCCTTCCAAGGTGTGTAAAATGAGGATTGGGGGCAAGAGGCTGACGCTGTAAACTGCTAAGAGAGGGCCGTCAAGCGCGGTGAAGCGGGATATAAGTGCAAATGCCATTGCAAGAGAATATTGCAAGTCTGGACGTGCTCCCCTTCCTCCCTCTCTTCTCGTGAGTCGGGCTGGGGAGGGGGTTGAATGGCCTGGTGGGTTCTCACAAGCCACTTTCTTGGTCTGGGCTCAGCCTCATCTACCTATCCCCCGAGGCCGTTCCAGTCCTTGGATCCGCAGAGGGCTGCCTTGGGACGGGCCAGGACAGAGCTGGATCTGCAGCCGCGTCCTTCTCCTCCTGTAGGAATAAGGGAGAGCGGCTCTTCGGCGTCACAGACCTTTGCATGCGCAAAACCCACTTCCCCAAAAGATCCCGCTGTCTTTCTGAGCAGCTGTTGCGCTCGCTAATATGATAAGCGGAGGGCAAGTTTTGTTGCTTTGTGGTGTCAGCCTGCCACGCAAGCGACACTTTGGGGATCCTTTGTGGGAAAGCGGGAACCAGATCACTCTCAGAACTGTTTCCGAGCCGCCACTTTCAACTCGTAAACCCTGACGAGCTTTGCCACTGATGGCTCGCAGAAGGGAATTTAGTTGAACGATAGAAAGGGGTTTCTTTTTTGCTTCAAAGTGATGGGGTGTTTTTTTTGTTTTGGTGGAACGGATGCTCTCCCACTTAAGCTGTCATTTTAGTACCTGCAGAGGCCCCTGCTATTGTGAGGCTGCCCTGGGCAAATGGAAACTGCTGCCTTTGGATCCTTTGGGCTTCGTTAACACACTTCCTTATTCAGGGAGAGGAGATTTTGGGTGGGCTTCCTTTGCGATTGGGATGGCTGGCTGTTCTCAAATATAAGCGGAAGGGAGGGAAGAAAAGAAAGGAAGGAAGAGGGAAGGAAGGAGAGGAAAGAAAGGGAGGGAGGGAAGGAAGGGAAGAAGGAAGGAAAGGAAGGGAGGGAGGGAGGGAGGGAGGAAAAATGGAAAGAAGGGAAGGGAAGGGAAGGAGGAAGGAAGG